AGCCTCTTATCCCTCCTTTCCCAACCACAGCAGTGGGGAGGAACCAAATTTAAGACTATCCTCCAATAATTAGATTCTATGCATGGAAAATTATAACAATTTTATCATTTTTCATTTATAGAATCTAGTTATTGGAGGGTTATTTTAAATTCAAAATCTCTTGGACTCAGGTAAATACAGTATATTAGGACCTAAAATTGTAAGAGAGCAACAGAAGAGTTTATTTAGCTGTGCAAAGCAAACATATACACGTTTCAGGAAAATCTAATCCTTCATCCAAGAGATGAGCAATTGGAGCGCTGACCCAGAAAATGGAAGATATGGGTTTATTACCTTTTTCAATTGGAAAGGATTCAAACCTACATCTCCCACCTTCTAGAAGACTGCCCTAGACTCTTTGGAGTTATGAACACTAAGTACCTCCAGCAGAACCAGATTCATTTTGCAGAGAAGTATTAAAAGTTCACTGGGTCAAAGAGAAGCAGTATGACACTACAGTCTAGCTATTGGGGCATTCACTTGGGAGAGGGAACTTGTAAAAAAATGAGTCTTTTCTCCAAGGACTGTTGATGCATTTTCTATAGTGAACATTTAATATAATATATACAAAATACTACTTGAAGCAAAGGCTAGAACTATTGCTGAAGTTAGACCAGCAAGATATGAACTGAATCTCACAGGCAAAATACCTAACACTAGAGATTTTCTTGAATTCAAGCCTACATAATCAAGCCATCTTCTTTAAGGTGATGGGAATGAGTTTCTTCCAGGACACAAATCAGAAAAACCCTGCCATTAAAACTTGAACCAGAAAATATTTCTCTCATACACTGAAAAGGAACAATAATTAAAAGTTACCTTTTCCTAATAAGATTCCAGCCAGCAATGCTTTTTCATAAGCAAGTTTTTCATTTTCCTGCCAATTTCTTTTAGCCAAATAGTGGCTAAAGTGAAAGGCGGGCCACCAGTCCTTTCTGGAGTTCCATTCCTCCTTTACCCAGTCAAGGTGCTTGTTAGAGCTGGAAAAAGACAAATAAGTTACAGCTGATCTCAAAGAGAGTGGGAAGGCATTAATTTATTTGTTTTTAAAGTTAAATCATACAAGCATTGTTCTCTGTGCTGTGTATTTCACACATTCCCAAAAAGAACACCAAAGATATGGCATGTTCATGTTACATGTTTGACAGCTGTCAACATCCTGCTGCCTGCAGTTACCCCTTTTGGTTTGCTGGTCATGCCACTTAAGAAAACTCATGATCTAAAGTGCAGCTTAATTGCAGTTAGAGTGCATGCTGGCACAGCCTACCTGAAATAAGAATGAAATATTTTATGTAAGAAGTGCCATTTTGATTGCCCATTGGTTCACTTTAAAAAAACTGCGTATTAGTATTGATTTTGAATTTGTAAATTAATAGACACTGAAGTTACAGGGGATGAATTTAAGTGATATTTTTTCAGCAGCAGTTAATTAGACACTGACAAACAAGTTGCTCTAAGGAGGTGATCTTCCAGTAGAAGTGGGCACCTAATTCATTTCAACATTTTCTGTGGCTGGTTCATAAAAGAAGCCAGCAGGCTAAGATAGCCTTTTTAATAGGTTTCACAAGTCACCAAGACAGCACACATCTTAACAGATTATTTCTGGATCAAAACCACACCAAAGCTTCTTATATGCTATGAGACTAGCAAAGTTGACTAATCTCTCAAGGCAAAACTAGTCAACACTAAAAGCTGTTTTAACCAGTTCTACGTAATATTCAAATTTTCCTAAAAAAGCACTAAGTTTACTAGGAATTCTATTTAGTAAGACCTAACCCCTATCCTAAACAACTTGTTATTCAAGAGGTATTTAAGCTGAATTTAGAAATCACCTTTAAAAAACCTACAAAGAATACAAGCTGTATCAAAGGAAGCTGTTGACAAGCTTGGTAAAAATCATGAATGACTGAATTATGTAGGGGTACACCAATAAAGATTTTTTGGGCTTATATTGATGACCAATTACTGACCAGTCATATCGGCCAATACCAATCCGACTGCCACTATGCAGCCTGACAGCTTGGAGAATGGCATCTGGAGGCCCCCCACAGTGAGGGAGGGAGTAGGGCTGGGGCAGGTGCTGCACAGCCAGGGAGGGGAAGGGCGTGGGGCAGAGCCAGAAGCTTGTCCAGAGGTCAGGAGGGTGGTTCCTGCCGCTGTGCGCACCCCAGGGGAAGCCTAAGGGGCATATGCCCCCTGGATCTGTGCGCACGGCAAGGGCAGGCTGCCCACTCAGGGCAAGGCCTGCACCAGGCTCTTCCCAGCAGGGGCTGGGCCAGGGCTGTGCTAAGGCTGGGAGACAGTGGTGCTGGGAAGGGGAGCTACGGGGGGCCTACAGTCACCCCAAAATTCACCATATCCCCCCCTGTAGCTCCCTTCCCAGCGCTGCTGCCACCTGCTCCAAACACAACCCAGGCCCAGGCCCCCCCCCCCCAACAAGAACCTGGCACAGCCTCTAGCCCCAAGTGTGCAGTGGCAGCCCACATTCGACCCGTGCACAGATCGAGGGGGTACATGCCCCTCCTCCCCCCGTCGTGCGCACAGCAGTGGGAGCCACTCCCCCCACAGAGGCTCCACCCCATGCCCCACCCTGGCTGAGCAGCGCCTGCCCCAGGCCCAGCCCCACTTTTTTACCATGGGGGCCTTGATGTCTCCCAGCCACCCCCTTTCCCCTCCACAGACTTACTAGCCAAACACTGCTCTCCAAGCTGCCAGGCTGTGTTCCTGGTTGCGTGCATGCGTGGGGCATTAATGACATTACCAACCACGTCAGCCAAAAAAAAGCCAATTGCTGATAGTGTCAACTTTCCTTTTATCAGTGCCGATACGATATGGACTGATGTATCGGTGCACCTCTAGAATTATGTGGCTTGCAGTATGTACAGTACAATTATGTACAGTAGCAAAGAGAGTAGAATCACCTTATTTGATTGATTCCATTAACTACTCTCTTGAAATCTGCTCACCACAGTGACCTCTTGGCCAGGGGGCTGAATACCCTGGATACAGGTCCCTCTGGAGTTGTAGTCAACTGCCCTCTGGGATAGTCAGAGGGAAATGTCTAACCCAACCAACAATCAGCACATTTAAAAGAATACAATGTTTTACAGGTTTCAAAAGCTGCATCTTTCAAGTGATACCTCTGTGGCCTGCTACTACAGTAGACTATCGTAAATATTTCTTTAAACATTCTTTAAAAAGAAAGTTCTAAAGGCTTGAGGCTAGCTGAGCACAGCCACTGAACTGAGGGTCTGTCTTCTCAATGACAATTTTGTCAAAGGACAGAAATTAAAGGACATTTCCACATTGGTCTAGCTGACAACTTTCAATTCCCTTAATTCAACTATAGCAAAGGGGGTACTGGACTTACTTCTCCAGGATCTGTTTAATCTGTTCTGCTAAACAACTCCAAGCCTTTACATTTTCCTTCCAGCCAGCAAAATCCAGAACTTCAAAAATAACCTCCAGCCCCAATCGACGTTTTTTTCTTTTTTCTGCAAGAAGGAGGAAAAAGAAGATTAGTTCTAACTTCACGAGTACAGCAAGCAGGAAGGAAGATCTAATTGGCTTTCATTCCACTGGCCAGTGTGATGCTCTGTTGCCAATTCTAAGCTTAATTCTCCCTCCAACTCCTAATAGGCAAGGAAAGATGTGCCCAGTTTTCAGATCAGAGATTATGCTGGGTGGGTCAGCAATTTGTTCTTACTTCAAACCTGTCATGGACTGCTGACTCAAGAGACTACAGAACAAGCTGTCCAGCAGAAACAGGTTCACACACCTTACAATAACTGCCTCAATGATGGCCACAATAATGACCAGGTGTCAGCAGAGGCTGTTACCAAAGTTCCTCTAGCTCTCCCTGGCAGAATGAACACATTGCATCTTGGTTGTTTCAAGTCTCGGCAAAGCCAGACACACAGAAATACAAGTCCATTAAAAAAATCTCCCTTACAGGCCACAAAGTTTTCTTTTAGGACTTTCAGGCTAATCCAAGTAGTCAACCAACAATTATGACTGTTTATGCAGAACAACATTTTTCCCTTATAGCCACACTAGCCCTCTGGCTGCAATGTTAATCTTACTTGTGCCATTTAAAAAGAACATGCTATTGAGAAAACCATGTTCTCCTTTTACAATACACGTATATACAACAGCATGTAAATAAATCTTAGCAGAGAGGGAGATCCCATAGCCCACTAACTTGAAAGTGCAAATCTTTCTACTCTGTATCTAGTAAACCCTCATCCCAGTCCCAATGAAATCAGTGAGTTTCAGCACTGGAATTCAACAAAATCTTTGACCATATGGTCCCATCTGCCTGATGACAATCACCTTGTACAGGGTGCATTATACCCTCAACATCTAGCACTCTACTGCCCCCCTTCAGGTCTAGACTGTCCTTGAGAGTGCTCCAAACTGTGGGGGATTAGGTCCTTGATTTACTTAACTCAATAAGAAGCAATGTCTTTGCTTAGTTCCTTAATTAGTCATCCTAGGTGTGATGATGAGACAGGAATTCCTTCTTCAGTGCTATGCAATAGCCAGCTGTCAATTTTTAAGCAAGACTACTAAGTTATCAGAGCAGCAGTTCCGATCAAACTCTGATTGATACAAAAAAAATCAGATAAATGGATTTTTCCAAACCTGCCATTTGTATGACAATAAACGAGACATCTCAGTTTCAAGAGAAAGTATAAACAAAGCTGAGGTAGGAAGAGAGGAGGAAGAGGAGGAGGAGAAAAGCAACTTAGAATTAAAAAGCCCTCAACCATCTACCTGCCTGTTGTTATGCACTGCATCTGGGAGAATCAAGTCAAGAAAGAATTTGACTTTAACTGCAAGTGACTTGTGTTAGATTCGGGAGACCATGTTCAGGTAGCTTGAAAGGCAAAAGCCATTTTGGGGAAATGTGTATTCTGTTCTCTGATGTATGCAATACAGACTGTATAAATACAGAGTACGATAAATGAAGTATTCCTGATAAATTAGAGACCCCTCTACAAAAACAGACACCCAAATTACTAGTCATTATTGAGACCCTGGCCATGGGGCCTGTGTTCTATGACAGTAAGTGCCAGTCAAGTCTCTCCAGATGTATTTATAGTGAATGTCTTCACAAAGTTTTGAAACATCTCCCTCTAAATCTTCTATTCTCTTCTGACCTCATAATTAAAAAAAGAAACAATTAAAAAGAAAAGCTACATAGCACCACCCCTGAATTATTTACAAAGGAAGAAGCTAATGGAAGTATTCAGGAATGCCTTCCCCTTACTTTAATAAAACTTAAAGAAAGGAAAAAGGACATTAAAAAACTTACTTGATTTTGTAAGCATGGTATAAAATTCTAACATTAGTTCATGAGAGGGAACAGTCTTGTGCAAAATCTGAAAAGGAAAAGAGTTTCATTATAGAATTTGAAATATTTAATCAAGGAGACGCATACACTTTACGAAGATTTTAGTAATGTACACTTCTAAGTGACTGGGTGCTTTAATTTATTCATACAAAACAACAAACAATTAATACTTAGGGACACTTCCTATAATGGTAGTTCAGATAAGCATGGCACCCTCTGCAAGAACAAACCAGAAGCAGTCCAAGGAGAATCCCATGCACCCTTAAACATAGTGTACTCCTTTGGGAGAAACCTAATTCCACAGACCGGCACAATGGGAGCTGAGCTAAAGTCCCCATTTTCTGCTACCCTTGTCTCTTTGGAGTTTCTAAGTAAAATAGTTTACGCAAGGGCGGCAGTGGACTTGAAAAGTGCACCCATAGCTAAGTACAAAATGTGTTCCTCGTACCTCTCCCTCCTTACATACACCCAAAAAGGGCAGGCACAACATAGCTGTTCGTATTCATTATTTCCATTTGTTGTGCCCTTCCTTCAGGTCTCCTCAATGCTATAAGCGCCACACAGTTTTTTCCATTAGAACTGTCCAAGTCAGATTTTCCTTAGAATGTGTACTGCAAGATTCATTAACAACCAGTGACCATGTATTATTGAGTTGACACAACAAATGAAGCCAAGCAGAGGCAAAGCAATATTTTTCTGAAGCCCTGGAGTGAAGACATCTATTAGAACCAAAAAGAATAATTATCCAGCGATCTGGGAGAGAACTAGATGCATTGCCTGCTTATCCAACTGGTGACTTTAAATGGTATATTTTTTGCCTAGCCCATATTCCAATCAGACTACAGAAAAATGTAGTGTTTTGTTTAAAAAAAACCAATATGTGGAAATAATCCAAGTATTGTACTTCATTATAATACACAGTACTCACTCTGTTAGCTAATTTCATGGCCCTCAAGACCTTGAAAACCTAGTGAACATACATGACTTTCAGAGCCTGTAACAAAGCACACAGAATGGTCACTGACTACATACAGGACTCTGGACTAGTAACTTCACTTTACCAACCCATCACTTAGTTATACAGTGGTTCTACATCACCTGCCTCCTAGGGGCATTATGAATAAGAGGTGGTCGCATCATCTAACAGTTAGAGCGGGGAACTGGAAAGAGCAGCCTGTTTAGGCCGTAGAAACTAGTCACACTGACTGTGAGCCCTTAAGTTAATTAAGTTCTGGATGAACTCATGGCATTGTGCCACAGAAAGCAACAGATCCAGGATTTCACCTCTGTGCTTACTTGCCCATCTGTAAAATTTGAATATACCTTTTTTAAAATAACTGAGACAAATAGATTTTTAAACACTAAGTACATTGTAAATATTGTGGTATGTATGTTGCATATGCATGCACTACTGGTAAAATTTTCAAATGATATAAACTAAAACATTTCACCTATATAGTGAAAGAATAAAGAGCCTTCCTGGTTACCATATAGTAATTTTTCTCCAATTATGCCACAGAAAAATCTTTCTACTTAGGAAAACTCATCCCACTGCTTTGCATTTAACTTGTAAAAAGAAGTTAATGTATAAGACTGCTAATTAATCCCAAACTCTTGGATGAGAGGAAACTACAATGATATAGTAAGGATGGAGGTGTATTTAAGAATGTTTGGTGCATAAAAGTTACAAATTACCATGCATAAACCAAAGAAGCTGCGGTAAAAAAAAATCTGCTTTAATAAGGGTGTTTTGCTGCCATCAGGTGGCTAAAACGATTGTAAGGGTTGATGAGCAAAAAGTTACTGAAAAACAGACAAAGCAAAGGGTTAATCAATTTAATATATAGCCCAAAGAGAATTCAGTTAGCTTAGTGCAGAGAACCACCAATGGACAGCGTTAAAAGGATAATTTATCATAGCTTAGCCCCAAAATTCAGTGAAAACATAAGACGTATGCTAAATACTAGGCAGAGTCATTACTCAATACGTGGAAAAAAAACAACATTTGCTCTCTTTAAAAAGTTAAAACTAAACAACACATTTTTGCATTTCTGTCCTACAAATCTCTTGTAGACAACCCCTTCCTTAACAACTGGTATAAACTAAAGACTGAAAATAAGAGAATTACCTAGTTTTTTCAGTAAGTTGTGCTGTGAAGCTATCCAGAGGTATAGACAGTATGTAGGACTAAAATAAGGCAGCATACAAGGGCTCATGGTTACAGACTATATGAAATACAGATGGTGGTAGTTCTCAACCAGGGTGTCCCAAGAACCTGCCAGGAATGCCATGACACTGCCACTGCAGGGTGAAACAGCCCTGCACACCTGTTCTCAGGAGGCATGCTGCAATCAAACTGAGAAGCAGCTGCAGAAGAAAGGTGCAGTTTGCCTGTATTATATTATGCAAGCAGGTGCACTGCTTCTGTTGCAGCCCTTCCTGGTTCAGCTCTGATGTGCCTCCTGAGAACTGAGGCATGTACAGCAGTTATACCCAGTGATGGTAGCAGCAGATGCTACTGCCACCAGGTAGAACTGCCTTGGTTTTTAGGCGGTACATGCAAAAACATGCATGTGGGAACAGAAGCGGAAGTGGCTGCAGCAAGAGCGGACACAAGCAGCTCACACCATGCAGAGGAAATCAGACTGCAGGAATTTGTTCCATGTTTCCGTTCTGCCAGTCTTTTTGTTGTAAAGACAGACATTATTTATTTATTTAAAGAATGCAACTTTTTGATAGGCTGCCTTTTATGCAATCACAACCTAGGGTGCAAAGAGCCATAGAAGTCTTCCTCAGGATACCTGGGACGACCTAGATCAGTGGTTCTCGACCTGTTTGAACTCAAAGCACCCTTCCATCACTTGTGAATTGAAGAACCTACTTTCAAAAACCGCTGTTCATATTACAATGGGACCAGGGAGTGGGGATAGGGGACAAGCCTGACCCTATGCTTATTTACTTAGCTGATCTGCTTATCTCCTTGCACCTTGCTTATCTCCTCACACTGGGACATGCTTCAAAGGATCTCATGGGCACCCCAAAGCACCCTAGTTGAGAAACACTGGCCTAAGTACACACACCTACACAGCAGAACAGACAGGACCACGGGTGGGATGGGGAGGGGATGAGAATGTTTGTCAGGGAGCAGGGCACTAGTCTGATGACCTCCCTGTGCCAGGGCATGTGAACTAGAAAGCAGGATAAAGAACACTCCCTGCTTTGCAGTTTGACCAGCTGCAAAATGCAATGAGGGGCATGTGCGTTCCACAGGCAGGTCTCAAAGTTAAGCTATTCACAAAGTTAAGT